TATATGGATGAAAAAGTTATAAATCAAAGCTCCTAATCAGACCGCTTCATCGAGCCCTCTTTTAAGGTAAGTTATGAAAAGAGGAGGTAGAAGAGCTTGAATATTGCTCGAATTTGAAGCCAAGGGTCAACTGATTTTACATTCAATAATTTCCGACACAATAATCATTAAAAATAAATAGACGAGAGGGACAATTTGATATTTTTCCATAGGGATGGAAATAATTGGAAATAATTGACGCTTAATAATTCTCCCTCGGTCCTCGCTGGCAATATCGAGCGATATATCGTAGACACATTATTTTCTGCTCTAGTCAGATAAAATAGGTTCGTTAATATCTTTTATCGAGAAAGAGCGAAGCAAGTCGAACTAGTACGGAATATCTTTCCTCGTAAAATCCTACACACAAAGTGTTGGACAGGCGCGATGACGTAAGTTACATTTTACAGAAAAGAAAGGTATAACTAAATGTAAAGAGAGAGATAAATTGTGGCGAAACGCTGAGGCGCGCACTAGTTCGCGTTGCAGCTTATAGAGAACCGCGAGACTGCATGCATCCTAGAATATTTATGCAAATCGAGAGCATAAAATGCTCCTCCACACAATTTACCTCCTCGTTATCCCACGTTCTAGGATTAAATGAAGTCTTCGCGGAAGGAAAATCGTTTAATATGCACGTTGTCTTTCTCTTTCTCTTTCTCTTTCTCTTTCTCTTTCTCTTTCTCTTTCTCTTTCTCTGCTTAAAGCACAAGTAAGAAAAACGTGCCGATCTATCGATACTAATTTCAAACCTTAAAAAAGAAAGAAAGAAAGAAAGAAAGAACGGAAAGAGATTGATTCCACGTGCATAGCCTTGTCTATCAGAAAAGCTAATCTATCTGGACGTGTCAGCACGTTCATTCGTAGTACATACCGTGAAAATTGTAGTTCACCCACGTGAGATAAGCCGCACCTTTTGGAAGAAGGAACGAATGAAATGACACGGAAGAACATTTGAAAGAGAAAGAGAAAAGGCAGTTTAGTTAGAACCACAAGCGCAGCTACAAACGCAGCTACAAACGCTTGCTCGATTATTTAGCTACGCTCCAGTAAACGTTTCCAAGAGTACGCTTTGTGACCTATAATAGCGCGTGTCAAGGAACAAGTGATACAGTGATACAGGGACCTGCCACGCAACGCAAATATAGATGCGATTTCTTTTTCCTTTTCTTGTTCTTTTTCTTGTTCTTTTTCTTGTTCTTGTTCTTGTTCTTTTTCTTTTTTTACGACGATACCTATTTTCGATATACCTTCTAAACTTTTCCTCGAAATTGTCGAGAAAAGCCATAATTCAATGGTATTGAGAAAGCAGGCTTCTCTTGCATCAACGGGTTGCATCTGCCCGTGTAAGTCCGTGCGAGAAGAAATACGACTCGATTTTCTAAATGACTGCACGTGTAAGCGCGCGACTACGGAAGCCAATAAGATACGATCCGCAAATAGTAAAGCTCGAACCGAAAAAAGACGCTGGAAATAGAAAAATGTTTTCTTAACCCAGAGACAAAAATAAATATAAGCTATGCATACCCGTGAATATTCACAGAAAAAAGGTTTATGGCGTTATTTTTTCTCTTTCTCTTTTTTCGCTTATACAACAATATGTTTCGCTACTTTGAAAAAAGAGAAAAGGTGTATGCTTAAAATTAACAAATCAGGCAAATGATGACTTCGAGGGTTAAATTATGCTGTACTATAAGAATAGAGTATTAGAATATTAAAATAATTGTTAATTAATCAATAGGAATGTGCATGGGAATGTACAAAAAATTTATTAATCTACATAACAAGATTCCAGAACGCTTTATTACCAATTGCAAATAAACCTTTTTTCGTGTTGAAATTGAAACACCTTTGTAACGCACATAAATTCATAATTATGTAAATATATACACATGAGAGAATATTTGTCAAGGCATTCTTACATATCTTTCTCTAACTATACTATACTATTGGAAGTATACATAAGACAATGCAGTCGATATTTTTTAAGTGATATTTATCAATTGAAATAATTGTATAATATTCCAATTGGATCATTCTTGTAGCTTATTTAAAAAATGCAAGATATACAACTAAAATGAATATTATCTTCATTAATGATGTTTGTACTTGTCACTGCAATCATTGGAACTAATATTTATACATATTATTAATCGTTTAATATTTTTCAATCTATGCATATTTTTAATTAAGCTGCAGCAATTGTTCTTTCTTCTTCTTTTCTTTCTCTATGATCTTTTATTGCTAGAGGTTTAGATTCCATTGACTTTATACTACTCTCTTCAGCTGCATAAATAGATTTGGATTCTTGTTTTTCTTGCTCGCTTTGCCATTGCACCTTTAATAATAAAAACAAAAAATACACAAATTAATATTTCATTGTATCATGAAAATATAACGTTTCTTTTACTTGTTCATAAGCAAATAAAATAATAACAAATACCTTTTGTTTATGTTGTCTGACAGCTTCCATACATCTATCTACCACCATTTGTTCGGTTAAGACACCATTTTCAGACGCGTATGCAGCTGCTTGCCATGCAACACCAAGTTTTGCTAATTCTCTACCAGACATTCCTTCTGTTATTTTGGCCATTTTAGTGCATAAAGCACCATAATCAAATTGCGCTACTTTTAATCTTTTCTTGCCTTCGATGGCTGGTTGAAGTACAAATTTATCAAAATAAAGACGAACTAAACGCTCGCGTTCTTCGAAACCAGGAAGATTGAACTCCACCATTTCATCCAATCTATCATTTACTGCCCAATCAAATTGTTCAGGAGTATTTGACGCCAAAACTAACATAAATTTATTACTTTGTTCGCCGGTTCTATATAAAAATGCATTTAACATTGCTCTTAAATCTTCCGATATATGTTCGCTTGATCTTTTTCTCAAGAAAGCATCCGCTTCATCGATAAATAATAAAAGACCTTTTCTAGACGTTGCTGCCCAGTCAAAAACTTTATGTATCGCAGTAACACCATCCTTTCCCAAAGGTGCTAAATCACCACCCGTCACAATTGCATAATCCATCCCAGAATGTTCTGCTAACTTTTTAGCAAACATAGTCTTACCGGTACCAGGTGGACCATGCATTAATATATTTCTATACATTCCACGATTTTGTTTAGTATTTTTCGTAGCTATCGCAACATCGCGTAATCTTTCTTCGAGTTTAGGTGCTAAAACTACACCAGATAAAGCATCGGTTTGCTTATCTTTCAGTTTTTTAATAGCTCGTATAGGATGTCTTACAGTATCCAATACTGTAAATCTAGAAGTTTCACGTACTAAAGATGGCTTTCCTAAACGAGATTCAATATAGCGCGCAGCTATACTGGTTGATCCCTTAGCAGAGTACACGCCAAAAGCTAATAGAGATAAACCACCAGCAGCAGCAAGAATTTTATCCCAATCTTGTAAAAGAGCATTGACTCCAGTACCAAGTACCGAGCCTGCAGTTCTACAATTGTTATCAATTTTTTTTTTTATCAATTTATAATACACAAATAAATTACTGTACTATATTTGATTAAGTACTTACTTTATAGATTCTAAGACAGTAATTCTATTTTCCGATGCCTTCAGTCTAATTTGCTCTAAATTAAGATCTTGGTTTTCCCTGTCGATCTTCGCTTTAGCTTTAAGCTCCGCTTCTAACTTTCTCATTTCATTTTTATGCCTCAAATCCATTTCGTGCTCAATAGTTGCTTTTCTCATAGCTTCTTGTTTAGCAACCGATTCTTCTTGTCTTCTTAAATTTTCATCGTTCATTCTTTGTTGTTGCGCTAATTGATCATCGTAACGTTTTCTAGACAATTGATCTTGATACTGAGCTCTTGCTTGATGCTGTCTCGTTTCTTCTTGCAAGGTTTTACGTTTCTCTTCTCCTTCTATGCGCTTTTGATCAACTTTCATTTGTTCGATGGAAGCTTCGTACTTTTTTAGTTCTGTTTGCATTTCTGTTTGTTTAGTCACCTCTTGCATTTTAGAAAGTTGCAAAGCTTCAGCAGCATGAGCTAAAACAATCATATCATTCCTCAATCATTCAACTACAATTTATAGTCAATTGAAATAAAATTAACTTTTGTCCTTTATCAAATTTATTTTCTCATTTTTATGGCCATGACAAAAATTCAATTGTCAAACATTTGCTTTACACGTAATAAGTGCATAATAGTTTCAATTGTAAAATAGTGAAACATTGCATCATTGTAAACTCATTCATACAAATTTCATGAATAGTTACTTGCCTCTAACAAATGAATGTATTTCTCACTTACGTAACCTAATATAGTATAAGATTAATATGAAAATGAATTAGAAAAGAATAATCTTACCAGATTTTTCAAGTTCTTTGGCAGCTGCAGCAGCTCTTTCCAATCCACTTGAGTCGAATCTATAAGCTTCCATTTGAGATTTTGTAAAATTATTCTGATTAGAACCATTATTACCACCGTCTGAGCCCAATGATGCCGGTGGTTGAATAAATTGAGAGAAATCCTGTGGTGGTTGTGTGTTACGATAACCAAGAAGCCACGACATTTTTTACTACACACGAAAACTACGAAAATTTGTTAAAATACACTTTTCTTTTCTTTCAAACGTTTAAATTAATATCGTCGTCTAAAAACTGGACACACTGAACCTCTCACGTGCACTTACGAGCATGGAACATGAACTATGCAATGTTACTAGAAATTAATCGAAACAAACGCAGCGATAACAAAAGAACACAGTAACACGTCTTTCTAGTGGATAAATCGAGTAACCAATGAACGCGTTGCGTTCACTTCATATCTTCCAATGACAATATTGCATCATTACAAATGTCGCTAATATTTCCTATCGTTAAATTATTTACTAAAAGCATTTAATCGATGAACTATCAATGTATATTTCGTGTTTGTTTTATTAAAAATGAATTTATCGAAAAAATAAAATGTAATATTGTATAAATAGGAAATTCCCTAAAATAAGTCATTTAATATTCCCTCTCTGTTGCATTTACTGCGCATGCAACTGCGTCATTCATATTTCCACAATTCCAATTAATCAAGTGAAATGTTTCGTACGCGTTTTATTTAATGTCAACACCTCCTAAGAGCGTATTGAAAGTGACAGCTGACGAATATAACACATTTTCTCATTCTCGATTGTCTTTATACTTTAACTTTACGATTGTTATCGAATCTAAAGTAACAACAACGGATAATCACGTACATTTTGTTAATACAGTACGTATGATATTAGCAAGTAGCAAAAGTATTGCTTTATAACGTCATGCATTTCCTTTCTTCAATGTATATTATATACTGTCAAAACATAGTTTATCACAAAAACTACTTTATTTTCTAATTTTATCCAAAATAAAATGTGAAATACTATGCTGTGCAATACTATGGATACTTGTATGCAAGTATCAAATACATTGGATATATGTTTGTGTTGATATATAGATCTATCAAATCTATATGATTTTTTAATTGCATTCGTTGCTTGTTTCTTGCACCAATTCATTTGACATATTATATTGTATGCATAATCTTTTATATTTTGTTATTTGAATGTTTTATTAAAATCTATGTACACACATGTATGTTTATATATATATATATTTTTATAGAAAATTATATTAGAGCAATTTGCTCTATAAGAATTGATCATGGAACAAATGATCGCATTGAGTACACGAAATCCATTATCATTATTGGTTAAATTTGGAATGATGGCTTGGAATAATAGCTGTGGAATTGAAAATTGTTCAGGACATGGCGAATGTCATAATGGCACTTGCTTATGCGAAGTAATATCTCTTTATTATAAATATAACTAATCCTTACTTATGTATTCATTTCCAACTGGAACTCTGTTCATATATTTTTTTCAGATTCAATTTGATGGACCAGAATGTCATGTACCAAATTTAAGTTATTACATAGCATTTGCCTCTATTTTCTTCCTATTGGCATTCATATGTCTTATTCAACTTGTCATGTGTATCGTCGCTGAATGGCAAAAGATGAAGGCACCTTCATTTTTGAGAGCTTGCAGAGTTACTACTCAAAAAGTATTATATTTTGTAGTTTTTCTTGCTTCAGTAATACGTGGAGCATACTTTACTTCTCCAGTAAGTACATCTATTTATTTAGTGATTCTATATCTTTGATATTACAATGAATTTAATATTACTTTCATTCTTTAGACTGCATTTAAAGAAGGTTGGTCAAGAAGTTTGTCATCAGCATATTATCCTCTTCTATTAAGCGGATCATCCTTAATAGTATGTTTTTGGGCCGAAGTTTTTCACCTAAGAGATGTTCAATGGGACAAACCTCAATTTTTATCTAAATCTTTTTTGGCATTTGTGGTATTTAATATAATAACATATTCATTATTATTAGCCGAGTTTGTCACTGCACAAATTAATTCTCAAGAAGATCAAGTAAGTTAATTTTCAAGTTTTTCGTATATCAATTTTAATATATTCAACATGACTTTTAATATTTACATGCAACAGCAATTATATTACATCGGTTATTACATTTATATTAGAACATTTTCCAGAGCTACTACACCCATATTTTTAATGGATGCTATGCGGTACTTTTATTCATTGTTGTCATATTTTTTTTGATATATGGCGTAGAAGTATACTTTAAGGTATGTTGATTCTATTAATATATTTCAGATTAATAATTTTGATTGTATTTATCTCTTTATCATGTTTTTATCTTCTAACATGATTAAGATATGTCATATCGTTTTGAAGTTTGACAAAATAATTAATGCAACTTTATTTTATCAGGTTCGAGGTGGATTTCTAAACGAATACCAGGTTGCTTCTATTGCAACAAATGTACGTACTCCGGATGAATCAAAATTGCAAAGTGAAGATCAAGCTACAGCTAAATTATTTGATCCTCAACCATCTACATCTGATATTCTACGTATGCAACAACAAGTGAATACTTCTCAATTACATCAATCTAGATTTGGTTTACTATCTCAAGCATTCATGTTGTTTATCGTGGTTGGATTTTTATTTAGCGAAACACTCAGTGAATTTTGGAAAACTAAGTAAGAAAAATATACACATATAATAAGATCAATAGAACGTCAGCTGATTTACCTAATTGATATATTCAATATTTCAGAGTTCCCTTATATAGCAGAAATTGGCACGATGTTGTATTTCGTGTAATAGAAGTTGGTGTAGCATTATGGTTTCCTTGCGTTTTGTGGAATTGTATGAGGTATGTTTTACTTAAGAAATGTCTTCTACTACCAATCGTTTATGTTCTTTTCCTTATTTCACTTTTCTTCCATTTTTTTTTTTTTGTTTTTTTTTTATAGTCCAGAACAATTATGGATCTTGAATCCAAAACGAATTTTAAAAAGATTAGATCTTGATCAAACAAAACATATGAAAGAAATTGAGTTACAAGATAAGTGTGCAGCTCAAGAATCTGCTCTAACTGATGGAACATCGATCAATAGTAAAGATTGTTGGATATGCTATGACAATGATAGACATGATGTTGGTCCACTAATACAGCCGTGTCAGTGTAGGGGCGATGTAAGTGCAGTCCATCATGATTGCCTACGTAGATGGCTTGTAGAGGTATGTTCATGTTAATTATAATTAGTTCTTTCTTTATTTCATTTTCTATGAATAATAAATTCTGTTTAATATCTTTTTTGTTAGAGTTCTGTCAATGCGGATAGTCTCACTTGCAAGATATGTGGTACCAACTATAATGTCGAACATGCTAGCCGTTTGGATTGGCAAAATAGTTTAACGACAAAACATTGCCTTCAAACTATTGCCATTGTTACCGCAATGTGTGCATCTTCTGCAGCTGCATGGACGGTTATACAACTTGTAGAGGGTCCTATTATTAGGATGTTTGCAGCTGGTGCTGCTTTGTTAATAATGTATGTTTGTATAAGGTAAGTTTATCAAGTGGTGATATATATATATATTTCATTTAAATATTTCTATTTTAGTTCTTGACAATTATTATAATCATTTTATAATAATTTTTGGTTAGATTTTTGAGTTTAAATACAGTGGTGGCTTATCAACGTGCCAAAATTTTATCATTAAACATTGCAAATTCTGAGAGTGGAACGGCGACGCATGTTGCCACAATCAGCCATACTGTATCTGTAGATTTAACAAAAGCAGAACCTGCTGTGATATAGACAGCATAGCATATCGAACAACATAGGATCTGGAATAAAAAAAGAAGTTAGTGATTGCAAAAGATAGCATAGAAATTCTAAGGTAATACTAGTAGAATTATTAGATATATGTAAATAATAAGTATAAAACGATAGTCAAATGTGGTATACTTGTAACTAAACTTTTCTTTGGTAATTATCAGGAAGCATTAGAGAACAATGTTTTTTTTTTTTTTGTTGAAATTTATATAGCATATATATATATATATAAATATATTTAAATACTTTAGTGTAATCTAAAAATTGCTAATTAGTAAAAAGAGAATAGTATACTTGTAGTTTCATATTATATATTCTTTATCTAATTGTTTAATACTATTTTTATATTGTGAAAAATGTTGTAGTTATATTTAATTCGACAGACAAATATTGAATGATAGCTTTGAATATTATTAATTTTTTCTACTACATGTATGTCTTTCAAAATAATAAGTACAACGTTTTTCACAAAAAAAAAAAAAAAAAAAAAAAAAAAAAAAAAAAAAA